CCAAAATGGACCTTATGGTGAAGACAAAGAGGTCTAGTATTGGTATTTATCATCCAAGAGTCATCTATTGTATCATATTCAACTGTTTGTAGGCAGATGAGATAAATATTTGATCATTTATTGGTTCACACTATATTCTATCACGATTCGGCTTGATTTGAATTTTTCGAAGAAATTTTGCTCGAATCGCTGTATATGTCGTCTTACATTATACTAGATTTTCCATGGTGAAAAAGGGGAAGGGGGTCAAAGTACCATGACTTAGTCAAATAGTCAAAACATCTTTTTCAACATGTTTTATATATACCATATATTTATTAGAGTATTGATATTTTGAAAAGAAGTTTGAAATAATTTGATTGTTGAAATTTGAGGTGTATAGGAGGGGGATCAATATACCATGTTAAGGGGGTCAAAACACGATGGCTAAGTACAGATTTTGAAACGTCTTTTCAAGCAGGTTTAATACATACCAACTACTTATTGGAGTTTTATTACTACATGTATGTAAAGAAGTTAGAATAGCTATATTTTTTGAAATTGGAGATGTGTAGTAGGGGGTTCAATATACCATGACAGGGAATCAAAATACCAAGGCTTCGTAAAATTTTCCATAGTCTTTATAAGCATGTTTAATACATACCAACTATTTATTGGAGTATTTGTACTATGCAAAGGAGTTAGAATAGCTACAAGTTTTGAAATTTGAGGTGTTTAGGAGGGGATTCAATATACCTTGGCAGGGGTTAAATACCTTGGCTAAGTAAAATCTTCCAAATATCTTTATAGGTAAGTTTAATACATACCAACAAATTTATTGGAGAATTATTACTATGTAAAAGAGTAAGAAAAGCTATAATTTCTGAAACTAAAGGTGTATAAAAGGGGGTTCAATAAACCATAGCAGGAGGTCAAAATATCATGGCTAAGTAACATTTCCAAAACATCTTTTGCACCATGTTTAATACACACCAACTACTTATTGGAGTAGTATTATCTTGTAAAGGAGTTATGATAGCTATATATTCTTGCAACTGGAGGTGTATAGCGTTTTATCTCCTTTACAAAGTAAGCATACTCCAATAAGTAGTTGTTATGTACCAAACATGCTTATAAAGATGTTTGGAAAATTAGCCATGGTATTTTGACCCCCCCCCTCTTTTTTCCATGATAGATTGAACCCTCTTATATACACCTTTAGAGTTATACATATTCTAACTCATTTACATAGTAGTAATACTCCAATAAGTAGTTGGTATGTATCAAATATACTGAAAAAGGTGTTTGGACAATTTTTCTCACCATGGTATTTTGACTCCCCTGCCATGGTATATTAAACCCCTTACTTTACACCTCTAATTTCAAACATCATAGCTGTTCAAACCCTTTGCATAGTTATGATACTCCAATAAGTAGTTGGTATGTATTAAATATAAATAAGAAGATGTGGTATGAGTGCCAAAGAGACAACTCTCTATCTGAGTCACAATGTGTAAAAAAACAATTATAGGTCAGAGTACGGCCTTCAACACAGAGCCTTGGGTCATACAGAACAGCAAGCTATAAAGGGCCCAAAAATGAATAGTTTAATACAATTCAAACATGAAAACCAACGGTCTAATCTATAAAAAAAACGAGAAACGAGATCAAATTAACCACACCAACAAACGACAACCACTGAACAACAGTCTCCTGACTTAGGACAGATGCATACAAATGCAGCGGATTTACATGTTTTAACAGGCGCCAACCTTCACCCTAACACTCCAATAGGTAGTTGGTATGTATTAAACATACTTGAAAAGATGTTTGGAAAATTTTACCTAGCCATGGTATTGCCCCCCCCCCCCCCTGCCATGGTATATTGAATTCCTTACTATACACCACTAATTTCAAAAAAATCATACCAAACATATTGTGTACATTAGATACTCTGCAATACTTTTCATATAAAACATGGGGGTTGAAATGGGTAAAATAAACCCGGGGTCAAAATACCATGCGGTATAATGACCCCGCAGTCAATTTTCCATATGGTATTTTAACCCCGGGTTCACTTTTCAGGGAGTTCAAAATACCATATGACACCGGCTATACTAGGGCAAAAATGCCACACATGTGTCACGCATGTACCTAAAAACGCATGTGTCACAGGTGTGTCACATGCGTAATACACATGTTTCTTGCCACGCATGTGAATCATGCGTGGTACACATGCGTTCACATGCGTAATACACGCATGTGAATCGCATGTGTCAGAAAAACACCTGTGTCACGCATGTGTTGGAAAACGCATGTGACACATGTGATATTTGCATGTGTAACACATGTATAGTCAAACGCATGTGTAACGCATGTGTTGCACAGGAAAATTTTGTTGATGTGAATTTAAGTTAAATTTTTCACATGAATTTTACGTTAAATTTTTCATGTGAAATTCACATGAAAAAAAAGTTAATTGTGTCCAAGTTGAAAAAAATTAACATCATAATTAAAACTTGTTTATTAACATCTAATACCTTGTAAGACATATATTCCATTGAAAATCTTATTTTACTTTTAAAAAAATTATTTTCACATGAAACCCCCCTTTTTTTGAATGATCAATGCATTTAAATGGGGAAACATAATTGGAACCCCCCTTTTATCCTGTGTTGGGACACTCCCCCTTTTAAAAATGGCTGGATCAGCCCCTGATTATCCTTAATTGTCACCATAATAAATGGTATTTTATCCAATCAGCTTAGGAAAATAATCGCAGTAAAAAAAGGCAAAGTAAATAAAATTGCAATAATTGCCAGATATGGGTCCAGGATCCTTAAAAAAAAGTGAGACTAGACTTGTAAAAAGTCTCTCTCTACATATAATTCCTAAAGGGAGTAGGCCAAGGGATTCTGTGAATCATTCCCCTTCCCCCATAAAATGTTCTTATTTGAACAATTAAAAGTTTAATCTTTAAACATTTATTTTAATTAAGATTTTCATTGGTATTTCTTTTAATACATATACACAGGTAAAAGAAGTATGCATTTATATTGGGAGAATTTGGTGTTAATTGCAGATCTTTTGATCTTCACCACTTTGAAAAAAAATGATTTAGAACTTGGAATATCTAGATGTGTTGTGTTGTGTTTTTGTTATTATTGTTTGAATAACTTTCTCAAAGGTGTGTTACAATAACCTTACATCTCTTTTTATTCCTATATATCTGCCAACTATCTTGGACAAAAGACAGACAGATACACCCAGTAGATATATTTAAGTCTTAGGTGCTTCATACAGTTATGGAACTAAATTATAAATTTGCATATTTTATTTAGTATTTTCTTATTTGTAACCCTTGTGTTACAAAAATGACTGATTGTATGTAACATTGACATTGGGTTGTACAAGTGAAAATTTAAAAATTACCTGGTTTGGTAGTTCAAACAAACGAAACCAATTAACATTGTCAATACTTGATTGTTGACCATTCTGATTATCTGTCCAAGAACAAAACTATGCTAACAATATTATACACATGAGCATATAGAAAGTACTTGAAAAGTTTCAGAGTGTTTGGGGTAGTCTGTCCTGTTCAATACGGCTCATAAGATAAAGGGGAAAGCAACACTATTATCGTGTTTAAATCACGACAAACAATAGTCACTACATACTTTCGTCCCTTTAATTTTTAGGCTTATACAATGTACAGAATAATATACCATTATAACTTTATCATACATTTCTTCATCATTGGTGTGGAATAAAAGCAAAGGATATAATTACCTGCTTATATTTTACTTGTGTTTCAAGCAAGCATTTGGTGGGTTGAGAGGGGTATACTGTAACGGCGGTTATAAACTTACATAGGCGGATCCAGGGTGGGGGGCCTGGGGGGCCCGGGCCCCCCTTTCGTGGGAAAAATTTGGTTGATTATATAGGGAATCACTGAAGCATGACTGGAGTGCCCCCCCCCCCCGTAGGTCAGTCAGCGGGCCCCCCTTATGAAAAGTTCTGGATCCGCCACCGACTTACCACCACCCACGTGCCACCACATCAGTGTCCTGCAGGCACTTGCCCGCAGGTGGTGTCAAAAGTTACATGTGCTTGTGTTTTTTCAAAGTTCATAAAATGTGGAACAAATGTCCTCAATTTCTCTATTCTATTTATAAGGGGAACATAAATATCAATGATCAGTGTTGGAGCTGGGACTATTGTATAATAGTCTCCATAATAGTCCCAGGTTGGAGACATTAATGTCATTAATACCATTGTGAGGGTACTACTGGAAAGAAGTTGTTTAAGAATAGATCAACCAAGGATTTGTTTATTGGATCAACGGTGATAACATCAAGTTTTAAAACTGTGATACCCAAACAACCTTGGTATGAAATACTGTACAGAAATTCCCAGTAACCGTTGGGCTTAACATTACATAAAAACTAAAGATTGTGCCATTGACGGATCCAGAAATTTTCATAAGGGGGCCCACAGACTGCTAAAGAGGGGGCCTCCCTAGTCATGCATCAGTGATTCCCGATATAATAGATCAAATTTTTGCCACAAAAGGGGAGGGGCAGGGTGCTCTAAATCCGCCTTTATGTGCAACACGAACCTCCAAAATACATGGGTGAACTCAAGTATTGTGAATGATAAAGTTAGGAACTTTCTGTTCAACATGCGGCAACCTAGGTTTGAGTATACATGTAATTGCCAACTTGAAATTAAGTAAGTAAAACTTTGATTTGATTCGCCATATTGGCAAACATGTGAAGATAAGATCTGGTGAGCTTTTCGTCGAATATCATGAGGAGATAGTGTTAAAAATATTTGCATAGTTCATGAGTTGAAAATTATAAAACAAAATATATTGTTTAACCTTGGACAAAAAGATCAAGTCCAAAACTGGCTGTTATTTGTGTAGGCTACCTTAATCTTGAAGAGTATGCAATTCTAAATCAAGGAGGCGGTAGGCAATTTCCTAATAATATTACAAAAGAACTTGTCACAGATTCTTAACTAAACGCGTATCAGATTAGTAAAATTTCTAATTCACTGACATCTGTTGGACATAGATACTCAAATTGCAGAATCTTATTAGTAATAAAAAAAAATCTGTGTTTTCTGTGACATCATTTTGAAAAATATATGTTTATATTTTATTTATTACACTCTAACTGTCTAACATTTAATTCTCCTCTGATTAGAATTTAGAGTAATTATCGTTTGTCAATTTTCCAAACTTCCCATGCCCCCCTCAGCAGAGTTATTTAATTCTGAATGAAACAAAATGTGAATGAGTTATAAATAATATATAAATGATTGAATATTCTTTATTTAGTTTTTCTTTATTCTCAATTCTTCCAGAGACATGCCAGTATATGCTCTGAGAATAATGTCTTTGCATGATTCTTCATAATTAAGTATACTCAATTATTCTCTATGATCCTTCTTTCTATATTTTTGCTTTTCAACTATCTATATATTTTTTTTGTGTCCTTATTTAAATCAACATTCTTGATTCCAGACTAACTCTCATATATATACGTAAATGTACGAAAGCTTGGCACGTCGAATACGGAAACCCGGAAATCTTTTCACCGTTGTCGTTTTTATACTATGACGCAAAATCCATGGACGCTCGTCTGCTGCTGAATTCATGTTTTAAAAGAATGGACAAAGATAGTCAGATAGTTGATACAAAGACCTTTGATTTTTCAAACTGATGGATCAAAAAGTTATTATAAACAGATATATTGAAATGGGTTAGTAACTTACATTGTCGATTAACTGAATCCGGGGAACGAAAGTCAACGCAACGAAAGTGTTTCGTTTTGATGGATTACGTACCAACTTATTGTACTTGGAAAGCGCAATGAAATGTAAATATAATCATGCGCATTTTTAGGAAGATGCTAGTGCTATACTTTTCACGAAAAACCATTTGACTTTATCCATGTCATGCATGTATAAACCCGAAAATCAGTCAAAGATTGGCAAAAACGGAAGCAAGTCAATTCGCCCCATTGCAATTGGCAAAACGCCCAATTATTTTAAAATCGCTCCACTCTTGTTTAGGGAGCTACCATTTGATTTTTATGGGAGAGGGGGCTTTGACGGAATTTGAAAAAATGCGGGACAGGAGTTTTGAGTAAAAAAATAAAAGCCAGGACCGAAAAGAATGAATAATAAACTGTCAGGACAGATATTACAACTAAAAACAATGCAGGATAACTGTTCATAACATTTTCATCCTAGCCCCACCCCCCCACCAAATCAAGTGGTAGCTCCCTTCATACCAACTTGCTTGCCCCACATTAAAAAAAAATCGCCCCACCTGTGAAAAGGATTAAATCCTGTTAAATATAAAATGTACTCCTGCCAACAGTGGCAACTTGCCTAACTTGGGTAAAATCCAAATGAATATAATCATGATAATATATAATAAATATATTATAAACAGATAAAGGTCTACCAACTCGCCCTACATGTACTTTAAAAAAATGAAAACTTATCTACCCAGAATTAAAAAAAAAAATTGAAATTTAATATATGATATTTATTGAATTTAAATGATGTTTCACTTCTTAAAATATAATTGTAGATTCATTATTTACTATTATTTAATTTATGTATTTATTGGAAAATAACTTTATTCTTGCATTAGCTTAGTTATTTGCAAAATAATTGCAAAGAAACCTGTTAATTGTATCATAATCTATCTGATTGTTTTTTAGCCGACTCAAAATCATGCTGTTAATTAGGGCCCCCTGTTGTACATGTACTTAGGAATCGGACACTTCCAGAAGATGAAAGATCTACTTTACATGTACGTAATGTAAATATAAAAATAAGAAAATGTGATATAATTGCCTATGAGAAAAGAGAGGAATTGGTAAAAGTCTGTGAAAATTCACTTGTTTTCCAATCCTAATAAAACTGTCATATTGTAATGTTTAAATAACCTAATTATTTTCAAAATAAAATCTTGTTTACACTAATGAGAAAAGACAACTCTCCATCAGAGATCAAATGACATCAAAGTTAACAACTAGAGGTCACTGTACATCCTTCAACAATGAGCAAACCCCATACCATATAGTCAGCTATAAAAGACCCCAAATGAAAATGACAAATTTGTAAAATAATTCAAACAAGAAAACTAGCAAACTAATTTATATACACAACAAAGAACAAAAAAAACCAAAATATGATACACAGCAACAAACGACAAACTGAACCACTGAATTACAGGCTCCTGACATGGGACAGGCACATACATACAAATATGTACAGGATGGGGTAGGGCTAGACTACTAGTAGTTTGTGGTGCCGAACCCACCTCCTAACCTGGTATATTGATGTGAAAAGGGCTTAACTCGTCAGATCTATACAAAGTAGAAAGAAATCTAACAAAACCACACACAAGACGTGGTGGGTACTTACACATCCCCACAACAAAAAAAACCAAGTTCAGATCTGAGAGTACTCCCAGTTACTAACACCTAGTTCAAAGCCAAAAACAAAGTACATTGTACATGTACAATGTATTTACCACCAAACCTTGCCTGGTTTAGTCCATTTCTCAGATACTACCTTACATAAAATAGTCCAACTTTTGGTGTAATTTAAACAACTTTGAATGACTTAAAATTTCAAAGTATCATGATTATTAATAACTTAATCCCCAAAGATTGGCATTATAAATCATGACAGATTCAGAGATCCTGTAATATATACTGTACATGTAATCACTTTTGTTCATCCCTTCATTCAAGGGTCATATGGAATTTATATGATGGATTAGAACATTAATAAAATGATTAAATACTTTTTTGTAGTCATTACTGGTCTTCCTTTATAAATATGCATTTCTTTTAACATAATTTAAAAGCAGTGTAAGGGAAGTAACCAAAACGTTGTATTGATTCTGCTTTAAATTGAATTATTGGGGTTCTTTGATATGCCAAATCTAACTGTGTATTTAGATTTTTAATTTTGGGTCCTGTTTTTTAAATATGTCTACATTAAGGTCCAAAGGGTCCAAAATTAAACTTTGTTTGATTTCAACAAAAATTGAGTTCTTGGGGTTCTTTGATATGCTGAATCTAAATATGTTTTTAGATTTTTGGCCCAGTTTTCAAGTTGGTCCAAATTGGGGTCCAAAATTAAACTTTGTTTGATTTCAAAAAAAATTGAATATAAGGGGTTCTATGATATGCTGAATCTAACCATGTATTCAGATTTTTTATTTGTGGGCCCGCTATCAAATTGGTTCATATTGAGGTCAAAAGGGTCCAAAATTAAACTTTGTTTGATTTCATCAAAAATTGAATTATTGGGGTTCTTTGATATTCCAAATCTAACCGTGTATTTAGATTTTTAATTTTGGGTCCCATTTTTTAAATAGGTCTACATTAAGGTCCAAAGGGTCCAAAATTAAACTTAGTTTGATTTTAACAAAAATTGAATTCTTGGGGTTCTTTGATATGCTGAATCTAAACATGTGTTTATATTTTTTATTATGGGCCCAGTTTTCAAGTTGGTCCAAATTGGGGTCCAAATTAAACTTTTTTTTATTTCAACAAAAATTGAATATATGGGGTTCTTTGATATGCTGAATCTAACCATGTATTTAGATTTTTTATTTGTGGGCCCGCTATCAAATTGATTCATATTGAGGTCAAAAGGGTCCAAAATTAAACTTTGTTTGATTTCATCAAAAATTGAATTATTGGGGTTCTTTGATATTCAAAATCTAACCGTGTATTTAGATTTTTAATTTTGGGTCCCGTTTTTTAAATTGGTCTACATTAAGGTCCAAAGGGTCCAAAATTAAACTTAGTTTGATTTTAAGAAAAATTGAATTCTTGGGGTTCTTTGATATGCTGAATCTAAACATGTGTTTAGATTTTTGATTATGGGCCCAGTTTTCAAGTTTGTCCAAGTTGGGGTCCAAAATTAAACTTTGTTTGATTTCAACAAAAATTGAATATATGGGGTTCTTTGATATGCTGAATCTAACCATGTATTTTGATTTTGGACATTGGACCATAATAGGTAAATTAAAAAAATTCAAGTTCTTAGACCACATTCTTTCTGTGTTAGAAACCTATACTGTGTCAAATATTTAATCACAATCCAAATTCAGAGCTGTATCAAGCTTGAATGTTGTGTCCATACTTGCCCCAACTGTTCAGGGTTTGACCTCTGCGGTCGTATCAAGCTGCGCCCAGCGAAGCATTTTATTTGTTTAGCCACAACAGTTATGAAGCTGTGACTTAGGCATGCTGTTTTCAATAGAGGCATAGTCGTAAAAAAATTGTTGATATTCATGATGAGGTCAGTTTAAGGAAACCAAGAAATAAAACCTTTGCACCTTTTGTTGGCGGTATACCATCTTTTCCGCAAGTTCATTGTTTTCTGTTTAGTATTAAATTTATAATTAAGATTTATTATTACATCGGTGATCCGTTTATTTGGCAATTTATACAGGAATAATGTCACTTTGAAATGTATGAGTTAGAAAGTAAGTGCTATTAATATTTAGGTTTACAGAAGTTATTCCGTGGAAATATATATTGTTTAATGTAATGAAAATTGCATTGCAAGCAATCCCAAACAGGTCTACATTTCTTTTAGATTATTTATGAAAATGTTTAAAAGAACAACCATATTGTATACTACAGCAAAAAAGTTTTGAGGTCGTATATTGCTATCAACTCGTTCGAAGATATTTGGTTTCCGGACAATAACTTCAGTTTAAGTGTATGGATGTCTATGAAATAAGATTTAAAGGTTCAATACCATAAAAGGAAGGTTGGGATTATTTTTGGCATCATGGTTCAACCAGTGTAGGAATTAGGGGCCAAAAAAGGCCCAAATCAAGCATTTTTCTAAATTCAGGACAATAACTTGTTTATAAGTATTTTAATTGCTATGAAATTGTACCACAAGTAGAAGGTTAAGTTTCATTTTGGGGGTATTTGCCCAAACCATTCAGGAATTAGAGACCAAAAAGGGTCTAAAACAAGCATTGTCAGACTGGCCTATATTATTAATTGATCATGATAAGTTGTTCTCGTTTAGAATACATAAAATATTTGCCTCTGGACATTAAAATAAGAAAAAAAGTCAATCAATTTATATTTTTGCATTATCAGAATGAATTTGCAAATATATAACAATTAAATTATGTTGTATCCTTGGAGCGTTTTCAATGACCTAGCATATAAATATGAAAAGATGAGGTATGATCCTCAATGTGACAACTATCAATTAATAGACCAAATGACAAAGATGTAAACATTTACTGGTCAATGAACAAAATCAATACCATAAAGTAACCTACAAGGATGAAAAATATAAACTACATACAGTAATGGCAGACAGCAAACAACAAAGTACCAACTTTCAAAATTAGCCAAAAAGGACTGGATTCATCAATAGGTCTTATAATAAAAAAGGTGCAAAAAACATGTTTTCCCAAACTAAAATATCTATCAGTTTACATTCAACAGATTTAGTGTAACAATGTTCACAGTTTGTCATTTTATGCAGTCTTAAGAAAAGTATGACTGTAATGTCAAAATATTCAATATATCAAAAGGGTATAAAACCTATTTCTCAATGCAAGTATGCAAGGATGTACAGACAGACAAGTGTAAAACTTGATGCCCCCTCCGTTACGACAAGGGCATAAAAAAGAGATGCACAATGGGACTATGTCGGAAGTTTTAATAAATTATGAATTACATGTTTATGCAGAAAAAACACATACAAATGTGTGTTCTTGTGTGCAGATATAACTAATTCCATGTCAAAATTCCATGTATGTTTGACAAAGTTGTTGATATCCAAAAAACATTAAAAAACTTTAAATGGGGATTTTCCAGTTTTGGGACAATAACTCAAAATGTGTTCACCAAATGGCAAGAAACTTTTGTGACTTGTTTGTATCTATTGACATGAGCTCCCTTTCGATTTTTATAAATTTAAGATTTTATGTTTCCAAGTTGTGGGGTTATATTCATTTAAAAAAGGGAGATTTTCCAGTTTTCAGACAATAACTCAAAAATGCTTACAGCAGTTTTGAGAAAACTTTGGTGAATTGTTTATATTTATTGTCATAAGCTCCCTTTTGGTTTTTATAAATTTTAGATTTTATGTTTCAGAGTTATGTGATTTTATTCATAAAAAAGGGGGATTTTCATATTTCAGACAATGCTTTGAGCAGTTATCATGAAACTTTGGTGACTGGTTTATATCTATTAAGATAACCTCCCTTTAGTTTTTCATGAATGTCTGATTATGACATTGAAAAGTTATTGAACTTTATTCTTTGAATAAGCGATTGGTGTATCATGTGCTCATGGTGCAGCTGTCTATTTATTTTGGGCCAGGTTTTCAAATTGGTCTACATGCAGGGGTTAAAATTTGCATTAAAAAATGAAAGGTCCTGGACTATTTGAAATTTTCAGTCCAGTGAAAGGTCCTCCATTTTTTTTGTCAACATTGAAACCATTCTGAAGCGTACGAAAGGTATAAATAAAATGTACTTCTAGAATTTTATGTTTGACATCATGAGTACGCATATGATGTCACATTGTTTAGTTGCTAAAGACAATGCAAAATATTTGTTAAATGGTATTTATTTTAATATGCTGCATTAGAAAGTAGATAACTGTATTGTATTTTAAGCTTGGCCTTCATTAAACTTGATTTTACCATAGGCGGATCCAGGGGGGGGCGGCCCCCCTTTTGTGGTAAAAATTTGGTTGATTATATAGGGAATCACTGAAGCATGACTGGAGTGGCCCCCCCCCCCCCCTTTAGTTATAAAAAGTTCTGGATCCGCCACTGTTGACTGTCACATCACTAGGTAAATACAGAATTCTCCTAAATGGATAAGCTATACTTATTATAGTCTTGCATCCACATGCTATTAATAAAGTACTGTTTTCTCCCTTTCAGCTGTACATTGTATTACAACAAATGGACAGAGGAGTTGACTATTGATAGTGACTGATAATGGACTGGAGTAACCTAGGGTCCAATGACTCCATGCCTGACAGTCCATGTGTACATGTATGTCAACAGCCAATTCTAAGTAACCTTAAACATATATATACAAAAGACCTAAAATAATAGTATGTGCATCTATGGGAGACTTATATGTCACTGTTATCACACAGTGTTGTGTGGCTTCATTACTGATTAGAGACTAATCAGATTATCCTTTACTTTAAGTTCAAATATAATGTACATGTACTCAATGATTATGACTTGCCTTCATTAACTTGTAATAATTATGATGCAGGATCCAACAAAAGTATTTTTTTTTTACCTACATTTTATGCATCAGTCTCGCTGAATTTTTAAGTACCTTGTAAATGTATATGGATATATGTATGAATTTAGTTGTAATACTTAGTTTTGAGCCTTGCACATATATACATCATTGTACATTGTCATAGAAGTTAGAATTAATTTGATCGCTGTCAGGCAATGACAGAGTGTTTTGAAAATTGCTTCATAATGTTGATCAGATTACCTTATTTAATTAATAAAATGTTATTGTCACAGATTGAAATTTTTAGTATTTTATAAATAAGGTCTTACAATGTATGGTAGGATTGTCAATGAGAAAACATTCCATTAGTCAAAGAGGATGTAAAAAAATTTAGGTCACTGTATGACTTTCAACAATGAACAAAACCATACTACTGTAAAAGCAGAAATTTTTGTGGAGGATTTAATTTCGTTTATTTCGTGGAAAGAATATATCCACGAAATTAAAACACCCACGAAAATTTAACCTACATATAATATCACTTCCATTTACTGGAAACCACGAAATTAAATCCCCATGAAAATCTTGTAAAGAGACAAAACCACGAAATTTTAACCCAACGAAAATTAAAGTTTCTACAGTATATAGTCAGCTGTAAAAGATCCTGACAAAGTGAGCAACAATCCAATCCAGAAAACTAGTGATGTTCCAATTACCATGTGCAGTATTGGTTATAATATAAAAATATCACTTGTTTTCTCTCTCTTTGCCAAGGGATAACTGTATTCCTAATTTATTCTTATTGGAAAGCAGACTGCATCAGGTTAAGATTTTATATGATAATCACAGGAATTTTAATTTTCAGAATTATCTCCTCAGATGTAAGTGGAAGGGAAGCTATATACATTATATGTTTAAATGAAATTAACAACAGGATTAGATATTGAGGAGATCCTATAGCTACAGTATATATAAATGTAACTGGTATGTATTTGTTACAGTATTTAATTTCCAAATGGTATAACAAAAATACTGAATTCCAAGGCAATTTCAAAAAAATCGTAAGGGTTCCGCAGAACCCAGTGTCTCGCCTACTTTTGCTGTTAATTGCATCATTTTCTCATCACTTGGCGTCAGTCGTCGTCCGTTAACTTTTACAAAAATCTTCTCTGAAACTATTGGGCCAAATAAAACCAAACTTGGCCTAAATCATCCTTAGGGTATCTAGTTTAAAAAATGTATCCGTTGACCCTGGCCATCAACCAAGATGGCCAATATTGCTAAAAATAGAACATGGGGGTAAAATGCAGTTTTTGGCTTCTATCTTTGAAACCAAAGCATTTAGAGCAAATCTGACATGGGGTAAAAATGTTCATCAGGTGAATATCTATCTCTGTTGAATTTTCAGACGCATCAGACAACCCGTTGTTGGGTTGCTGCCCCTGAATTGGTAATTTTAAGAATTTTTTTTTCAATTTTTATACGACCACAAAAAATTATTGGTATCACGTTGTCGTCGTCGTCGCCCAAAGACACTTGGTTTCCAGACAATAACTTTAGTATTAGTAAATAGAAATCTATGAAATTTAAACATAAGGTTTATAACCACAAAAGGAAGGTTGGGATTGATTTTGGGGGTTATGGTCCCAACAGTTTAGGAATTAGGGGCCCAAATAAGCATTTTTCTAGTTTCATGACAATAACTTGTGGAACAGTGTATGGATCTCTCTGAAATTATACTACAAGTTTCCATACCACAAAGGGATGGTTAGGATTGGCTTTGGGGGGTTATGGCTCAAACCATTTAGGAATCGGGGACAATTTTTTCTCCTCAAGATTTCAGATATCAAAATCAAAAAGAAAATCCTTCAAATTTATTTTTTTTTTTAAAAAAGGGTTGGACCTCTGTGGTCATATCCAGCTGCGCTCGGCAAAGCAATTTATTGGTTATTATCTTGAACATTATAATAGAGATAAACTGTAAACAGCAATAATCTTCAGCAAAATAAGATTCACAAACAAGTCAACAGGATCAAAATGGTCAATTGACCCCATAAGGAGTTATTGCACTTTAAAGTCAAATTTAACAATTTTTTCGTAAATTTTTGTAATCTTTTACAAAAGTCTTTTCCTGAAACAACTGAGACAAATTTAACCAAACTTGGCCATAATAAGCATTAGGGTATTTAGTTTAAAAATAGATCATAGGGGGAAAAATGCAGTTTTTGACTTATATCTTTGAAACTAAAGCAAAAGTATATCGGTTGCATTATTTCATGCATCAATTGTAAAATTAAAAAAATATCAGGTGAGCGACACAGGCTCCTTGGAGCTTTTAGTTGGTATTGTAATTTAAATGAGGTTAAGACATGTAAGAAAGGGGCTTGAAAAATGAGGAATTGTGTTTCTACAAGCACTTAGTTATCTAGATCTATAATACTAAAATAACAAGGTCCAATTTGTGAGCCGGCATGACATAAAAATGACTATTCAAAGAATTCAACTTTATTTATAACTTTTTTATATAGGACAATGGTGTTGATTAAAAATTACACCATTCCAGGCCCATTTGTTTTCCACATAATTATTACTACAGATAATTAACAAGTTCTGGGTCAAAGGGTTCAAAAAGAAAGATTTTGAAAGCAGAGAAAACTGTGCACCTAATGACCAGCATGACATTATTAGATGACAAAACGAAAAATCTTAAAATTCAGGCTAAAAATAAGGCTGAGGTACTTTGCTTCAGTCACAACACCATGATGTCCCGGAGTATTATAGTATATATTATGTATACAGGTAATGTGTAGTACACATGCATGAATAGAGTTAGTTTTCATTATTACGGTAATTAATGTTGATAAAAATGAGAATATGTAGTATTATTGCCAATGAGACAACTATCCACCAGAGTCCAAATGACTGAATGTTAGCAACTATAGATCACTGTATGAACAGCTTTCAACAATGAGCAAAACTGATACTGCATCTAGCAAGCTATAAAAGGTCCTGAAATTACAGATGTAATACAATTCCAATTTACGTAAAAGACATTAAACGAAAAATAAATAAAATAAACAACAACTATTATATTCCACTCCAGTTGTTCACACGATATATATATATATATATGTAAGTTTGGTAAATCATTGGAGATTAAATTGATGTTATCATTTTTTGCCTGATTGATAATCCAATATTTTATGTATGTTTTACAAAAAATATATGCTGTTTTTGTCTCGCTTGAAGGAGTCAAAAAGCGAGGCATAGGTATGCTGTTTCTGGCGTTGTTGACGACAGCGGCTTCAACAATGTATTAGTTTGTGATTAGGTCTAGTTTATAGTGAACCACAAGTAGTAAGTCGAAGATATTTGGTATGCAGTTGTATTAGTATTGGCACATCTCATTACCATGGAGATTATTTGGCCCCGCCCCCTCAGTTATGGTTTATTGACTTAATTTGAAATTCTTGCTTAGTCTTCATGTATTAGTTTGTGATTAGGTCAGTTTATGGAGAACCACTAGTGGTAAGTTAATTATGATTGGTATGCAGTTGTATAAGCATTGGCATATCTCATTTCCATGAAGATAATTTGGCCCCACCCTCTCAGTCATGGTCTATTGACTTTGAAACTTTTGCTTAGTTTTCATGTATTAGTTTGTGATTAGGTCGGCTTATGGGAAACCACTAGTGGTAAGTCAATGATATTTGGAATGCAGTTGTATTAGCATTGACACATCTCATTACCATGATGATTATTCCCCCCCCCCCCCCCCCCCCCCCCCTCAGTTATCGTTTATTGACTTTAAAATTTTCTTAGTTTACATGTATTAGTTTGTGTTTAGGTTTATTAAAGGGAACTACTTATGATAAGTCAATGGTATTTGGTATGCGTTGTATTAGCATTGGCACATCTAATTTCCATGGAGATTGTTTAGCCATGTACCTTTAGTCATGGTTCATTGACTTTGAATATTTGCAAATCTTACATGTTAAAGTGTTGCTATTTTAATTTCAACATTTGCATTATCGAAATTACTAAAAAGCGAGACATATCTCTGTGATTACAGTTTATTTTTTTTATTACAGCAACTGTATTCCAAGAGTCTGATGGCTGATAATGTATTACAGGATTTTATCATTCAAGCAACATCTTAGAAGGATAAGTGCAAATGTATGAAGGAAGCCTTGGGTACAAATAGCAATTACAGCAATTACATGCAGGAGAGAACTCTTAACATTACTAACAGACATGTAGTCATTATATGGGAGTGGTGTATTCAAGAAATCTAAAACACATGGAATTAAATATCGTGTATATTTTTTTAACCACAAGTACTCTCAGAATATAATACAATTCAAATTCAAATTATTGTGCCAACATGACAATTACAGTCTAAAAATGGAAAATGCATGTTTTAAACTGATTTTTATATAAATATTTGAAATAACAAGAATTTTTAGTTTATTGTGCAGCCAAACTTTGAGATCTTCTAATGGTATATGCCTGTTGTTTGTCAACATTTGTTTTCTTTTTGCCTTAACCTTAAGATTGGTGTTAAAATGAAAAACTGAAATAGATATATGAAATAAGAAGGAAATGGTTGTAAATAACAGCAAGACTTTCAATATGGTATATCAAAATATATTCCACAGAACTTTCTATTTCAGTTTATTAATACAATGAGATATGAGGTATAAATAAATCAGACAGCTACACAACAAAAACACATGAAAGGCATTAAGGTGCTAACATACAGTCCTCAACAATGAACAGGTGTCTAAACAATGTCATGATCTACTTAATTAACCAGAGTCTATACCAATCAAAGAGCTGCCATCAACACCAAATTCTTTAAATATTTTTTTTTATTAGGATGAGACTTAGACAACCACTGAAAAGGTTCCTGGCTTGAAACAGGCTCAGGAATATGTTGCAGGGTGAAATACTTTTTTTCTTCAAAACTTGGCATCTTTTGCAAGTGAGACTATTTCCATATGGGATTGGATTGTCTCATGGCTGATAACCACAAAATGACTTGTACATACATATTAAAAATGAAATAAACATTAGTGCATACATATTCTATAAATGAATCACCAATCCTTACATGACTTTTAAAAAAAGTATTGAGACTTGAACATAAACGAAAAAATTCTAGGAGTGAACTAAGGTGACCTGGATATTTGCTTGCCTTCTTTGTTTTATTGCATCTTATCTCTTGCATTGGAGATATTGTGAGTTGGGAGTTGATAGATAAATATTTTTTGTATTGTTTAGGATCAAGAAAGTAAAATATAATGGAAGTATGAACACATAGTCAAGACCAAGAAGAATATTTATATATCAAAATAGAATGTGTACTAGATTAGCATTAACTTATCTAAAATATGCTCAAATACTGTGAATTTGTGTGATTGATGCTCAATTCACCTTAATTTCATTTTGCCTGTGTATATATAGAGAAAACACATGTATAACGCATGTGTTAGAAAAATGTGTTAGAAATTGCATGTAATTCACATGAGAACTGAGAAACATGTCAACAATCATGGTAATTGGACAAATAGGAGGACATTTTGAAAAATATTTAATACAGGCACCATGCCTTTTACATGTAGTAATCACGCATGTATCACAGGTGTATTTCCTTACGCATGTGATTCACATGTGAAACGCATGATCACATGTGTGTATCATGCGTATCACATGTGTTTTTCACACATGTGTCACATGCGTGGCATGAAACGTCTCTTTCACATGCGTGTGACACGCATGTGAAACGCATGTGTCACGCATGTACACATGTGTGGCATTTTTGCCAGTGTATGTAGTTTTTTTAATGATTTTTTGGAAGTTGTTTACCCAGTATTTTGACTGAGCTTTTTATAGTCCTTTTAATGCTAAAATTTAAGGAGAGAAGGTCACGTTTTTAATTTTCTTAAATATCCTCCTCCGTGAATGATGATATTGTATTTATTAGTTAGACGAGAGCAGCATGTGAATCATGACCTGCTTACCTATCCTTTTTTGATTTTTGCAATGGTATTGTCACGTTGTTTTTCGGCTAATGTGTTTGACTATCTTTTTATTATCTTTCACCTCCATTTAACACTCAAAAGTATGATGTTAACATATACAAACAATATAGTTAGAGGCTTTGTTGGCTGCAACATCAACACATTTGTCGTGAGGAGAGGATACAGCATGCACACTATCGATTTTTTGAAAGGATTCAAAACCCATGTGCTCATTTTATTCGTAGAGTTTGAATCCCTTTCTGAATGCACGACTGAATAGCTCTGATTTTTTTCAAATAAAGTGTCTAGTTTTGGTTCACTTGGGTCTCGTCTTACCCTCAACTACACCCATCAGTAACTTCAAGTTACTGAATTTTGAAAATAAGTTGATGTATACGGTATTGTGAATCATTTGCCCTGTTCATTTGATAGTAATATGGCAACAAAATGAAAACATGTACTATTAAATTTATATCTGCATGTATTGAGAAAAAAAAAACATGTATTAATGATTGAAATGCAAGTTGATAATACAAATGAATATTCCAACAAAATATTACCAAAAAATGTAGCTTGAAACTAATGTATACTAATGTATATCCCACAAAATATCATCAAACGATATAACACAACGTTTATTCTCACACACTTTTACTAATTTAATGTCAGATGCAATGATATAATACGTCCAAAAAAAAAATATCATCTAACCTAATAATTGAATTCAAAATTACAACTTACAAGGAAGACTTGGTAAGTTTGCACTCGAGAGAAAGTAAACCACACAGATTGTATCTAAGATATCGAAAGTTAAAATTTCAAACGAGAGCAAAGAATGACTTTCCCTACAATGATGACGATAAATTTTAACCATGGTAAACATGTCCCTGAGTTTTATATAAGAATGAAATCGATCCACATTGTTTTCATTTTATCAATCAAACTTGTCCCTTCTTTTTTTGTTCATGGCTTTCAATTTACGCTGTTTTTTCCTGGGAGAAAAAGAATAAATAACTGAATTTCTTAAATTATTGTGATTTATAACATTATACTGTATTGTACTCTATTTTATTAATGATATTAAAGTAACTCGTTGAAAGAATTGATGAGCTTGAAAATGCTTTCAGATGTCTTAGGCATTTACTACGCATTTAGTGTTTTGGCAAACTATCAAATTCAGATGAAAATAGTGTCCAAAAACATAGTCAAATCATTGTTAGATTATAAGAACTTGGTGTCAAGTTCAAGATACCCAAATGCAGAAAAAATATGAAAGAAACTGCAAACTTTAAGTCAGTCTACATCAGTGAAGATCTAACCATGCTTCGTAATAATATACTGTATCACTGCAGAAAACTGTTGAACAAGAACAAAATTAAACAGTTATGGACAACTAATGGTAAACTTTGTTCGCTTGACAAACAAGATCAACTCTATGATGTAAGTACAACATTTAGATTCATCCAAGCAGTCGGCAAGGTAAACCCATCCTACAATACACCGGATGGATGGTAGTCTAGTATAACTAAGTTATCTAAATAAACTCAATGTTGTTGTTCTTGATTAACATATTTTGATGATATCTGAATATTTCGAATATGTTCTTTTGCAAACAAACACATCAGTGTTTTACTACTACAATAGACATATAGTAACTTTCAATGAGATGAACCATGTCACATACTCGTTTTTCATTGGCTAATATGTAATTGAATTCACACGGCAATTGCAAATGTCATTTTGTACACCGTATATGAGACTATTGATTTCAGTCGTTGGTTTAAATTTGTTTACCTGCGTTCATGCAGATATTTAAAGAAATTGAGGTGTCCTGAGAGTTAAACTATTTTTACTTTTTTTATGGTATACATGGTATACATGGATTTTTTCTTCTCTTTTTCCTTTTCTTCTGAAAAGCATTTTACATCTCAATGCATGATACTTGAAAATCAAATTCCACCTTATTTATCGTAATGGTTGTGGTAAATGCGTATTTCTTTTTCATGTATATTTGGGTCATTCAAATTATTCTAGGAGAAAAAGTGCAGTGTTGCTTATTAACAATTTAGATATTACAATTACACAATGTTTGCAGTAATATTACGTTTACAAATTTTAATAATGCTGAAAAACAGTCAAATGTATTATACCTGCACACAAAAATTTAGTAAGTACGTATCCACCTCTTATTTAAGCAAGGTCATACTTTTGACATAATTTTGTATTCAGAACCCCCGAGCAATATTATTCATAAAATATTGTTCTTGTTATCTTGATCACATATATTATTTTTTCCTTGATTTTTCTCTTTCTTTTTACATTCTTTTTTAAATGTTGTGACACAATTCAAATCGGACCATGCGCTACTGAACAATTTCACCTGACGAACAGGATGATCCTCTAATTTGTACAGGTCATGCTCTTTCGCGTCAATTTTGAGCATACCTCGGAAGTCACTTAATGGGGGCTGACGCATTGAGCTACCGAGCGAGTATTGGCCGGTTTTTATGTGCTGCGCATACTGTCAAGAAGGGAGATTATCGTTCCTTGATATATTATGCATTTCACTTTTCTCAAAGTACGATATTCGTTTGTTACCAGTTTCTATTTTGTTATATTTTGTATTTCACCCAGGTGATAGACGTAGCATCATTTCACTGCAATTTGAGAAATGTGACGCTAGGATTTCCAAGTGTACACATGACAGTTCACATGATCATTGTGATCTGATCATAGCTTGCTCGGCTAGTATAATTTGTATATTGTTATTGATATCCGGCATTGAACCAAATTCAGGTCCGTTGACTGCAAAGTCAAGCTCTTGTAGTAATAGTAGCCTCGATGACGTTCTTAAAAATGCTGTTTCATTTATGCATCTTAATATTTAGAGTATTGTTCCGAGGACTGAGTTGATTGCCGCTGAATATTCTTGCCATGAAATACTCTCGTTTTCTCCGCAAGTAAGCAATGAAACTATTTTGTTACCGGGTTATAGAACACCAGTCCGAAGAGATCGGGTGGGGAAGGCAAAGGAGGTGTTAAAGATAATTTGAATTGTTCTGAAAGGCGAGACTTAGTAGTCTTTGATATTGAATGCATATGCCTCGAAGTTAAATTCAAGATCAAAAATATCTTTACGGGACCTTTTACGTCCAACCTAAGAGTAGTCCACAGGTATGGGACAACATAGAGCAGTCTACCGACCTTGCCCTACCTGTAATTTAGATATAAAAGTTACAGGTGATTTTAACACCAACCAGTCAAGGAATAGCACTAATGATAGAATTAGTATGATAAAAGCACAATTCAGTTTACACCAACTTATTTTCGATCACACAGTTATTCTTTACTTTACCTTAATTTAGTTAATGACCCCATTTGCTGATGTCGGGCCCCGTTACTGGATCAGATTCGATATCATTTACCTGTTATAGGT